TGGCAGTGCAATGATGGATGGTGGGGTAGTTGTTGCTTCAGGAACAATATTGATGCCATCATCAAGCATTGCTGGCCCCGACGATGGCTACAACCGGTCCCAATTTGTTCAGTCAATGTACGCCGGAAGTTACACGTCATTCCCAACAGACCTGGGTTACGGACGAAGGTATCGTCCAAAACCGCAACCGCCCGCAAAACCTGCCAAACTGAGAAATCTCTGCACAAGAAGTGCCCACAAGTCTTTCCCACCTCTGGTGCCTCCGAAACCTGTGCTTTTTAAAGATCCCGTCGAACTTCTGCTGCAAAAATCCCCGGGCAGCATTCGTGAAGTATCAAAAGCTGATGAAAAAGATCCAGAAAAATCTTCTGCCACAATCTGCGATGTTTTGCTGCCATCCGTACAGTTGAAGGTACCTCCTTCAGCACCTGAACCAATCGTAGCGCTGCCATACAACGAAGGGGCCAAGGCTGAATCACATTCACCAAAGCTCCCTGCTCAAGGTGCAGACAGCACTGCTTTCTCGACCAGTAGACGAAGAAGTCTGGTAAATGAAGAAATCAAAAAACCGAAGATAAAACCACCACCGCCACCCGTACAAGCAGTTCCCGCATCATCTTCTTCCTTCCAAGCTATTAAACGAGAAACTCCCGAAAAGCTGAATACTGATCGGGAAAGCGAAAAAAGAGCTACTGTAGATGAAACGGTTAACGGACCACCACCGAAACCTCATCGTTTCGAGAGAAAAAACATCAGTGGAGAGCTGATACCCAAGTAAGCATGATCCAGTTAAGTTTAGTAGTCAGGTTGCTTTACAAAATCCCTTTGATCACGAGGGAAGTCAATTTTGAATGGTTTTTGTTATTTTCAATATTTCAAAGTTAATATTTTATTTGCAAGGACTCACATAAAACCACCGATTTTACCTTGTATGAAAGGAGAGGGCACTCGAAAGTAATAACTGAACTGACTTACTGCTGACAGCAGAGCTACCCATAGCTCAATTTGCCGGGGGATGAAACTATCTTTTTCAAAAAAGAACAAAAGCTTGTACTCTGCATAGAGTTACAACTTAACCTTCTCTTCTCCTTAAAATTGGTTTCACTTATCAGCTTGGCAGAGTACCATTTATTTCAGTGTACCATCAATACCACCCCCTTTACCGCCAGTCAATTCACCTCAAGAATCCATCAGCGATGAAATGTACGAAGAAATACAGCAGCTTTCTTACTCCGAGGTGACAGTATTACAATTTTGAATATCTTTGTTCTAGAATACAGACTTTTTCTGAATCAAAAGTTCCAGTTTTTTCTCCGGATTGAATGTCATTTTGTTGCCCATTTTTATGGTCAGCGCATGATAATAGTAACCAGTGCAGCGGTTATTATCAATATTCAGCTGGTATCACTCTTTTGTTCTATTTGGTACAAATTGTAGTGGAAGTGGTACGCGGGTCTCAGGTATTTTGAGGCTGAAATTATTGAGGTCAGAGAGATGTTTATATAAAAAAGGCCTACGGCCTAAAGTGCTCTGAGTCTTAGAGGGCCTAAGTTGTTTCACTATAGAGAATTGTACATTCACAGCTCTTAATACGGATCACACCTTTCAAGCTTTCGGAAGCTTCCGGCTGGATCTTTGAGTCCACGAACCTTTATCTTTGTAAGAGAAAACTTTGCGATTCAACTCAGTTTTCGAGATCGTGGTACTATGTTTAGGAAAATGGAGCATGCAGGGAATACGAAGAAAATGAAGAGCATAAAGACGAAAGTGAAAGGTTTCGTGGCTTTCATATTTGTGATTTCAGTTACGATAAATGTATATGAAAATATAAAATTATATCAAAAAATCAGATGAACAAAAATGTTTGGGCCATTAAGTCGTAAAAATTCCTATTCAGCACCGTAATTCGATTTCTTCAGTATGACCATTGTGGTGCTGATGAAATAAGTAAAGCGAAATATACTTGTACAAGAGAATAGTTTTTACTTTCAAAAGACAAAAAGAAATTGGCTTCAGAAGTAGTAGAAAAAACAGCGGCAAGAAGCAGGGACCAAGTGGACGGTGCATAAAAAATTTGAGAATCGTCAATTATTGGTGCTGGTTCAGCTTTTGTAAAAAGTTTTAAATTGGAGCATTTGTAAATGGGCACAATTAACAATTTTGTAATTTCAAATACATTTAAAATACTTGCAAGATTTGGATCAATCAAAAAGCACCATAAAAAATTATGTACCACACCCGAATTATTGGATCCCTATTGATTTTAACACACAGCTTCAGTGTTTTAGCACGAACATTTTTTCTTGTGCACTCCCTCCTAAATAAAATCATAGTTCTGCGTCTTGGTGATTGTGCTCATGTGGTCAAAAAAATTTATCACATAAGCAAGTGCCAAACGTTGTTTCTTGATTTCCTCTCCTCCAAAGAATTTTGAAATTGCTCATGCAAGAAGTAAGAATTAAGAAAGCAAATGTAGCTAGCTTAGCAAAAGGAAGCAAAAACTTTATTAAACAAAAAAATTGAGCCAAAAGGATACAACGTCCCACGAAAGCCGCTATTTGCATTGCAATAGATAATAAACACAGCAGCGCGTACATTAGATAATAAACACAGCAGCACAGCTCTTGTGCTATACAGGTCTAGGTTTGACTTCGCCAATGAGACGATCGATCCCGCTACTATTCATTAACTTGTTTCAGTGGCAAATTAGTCCTGGCTTATGCCCGAGAGTTAAAATTTTCATCAGACTGCTTCCAAGCAACCCTCAAAAAGAAGGCCATCGAATGCTTGCCAGCATGTAGTTGCTGATGGCAGGTGTTCCCACTTCGGCTACTCTGATTTCATTAAAGATGAACTGTAAAGGATTTTCAATTGGTTTTAAAGAATATTTACTAACAGTCACTTTGATAAAAAATTTATAGTACCCCCAATCTCCAGGATAAATAGAGAAAATTTAAAAAAAATGTGACTGATTGCTTAGGAGAAAATAAGCTGTTTTTGCGACTCCTGAAATAAAGCTGGAAAAAAGTGCATGCTTTGAGAATCATTGTCTCCTACCTCCTTTCGTTCTTTCTATTTACTGCTGAGCGAGAAGTTAATTTGATGATTTCTGCCACCCTTACTACATGAGGAAAAGTTAATGATAATTGTTAGTGTAATTCGTGCATGCCTAAAACATAATTATGCATAATGATGATGATGATGATGGTAGTGATGACTACTTTGCAGTGGACAAAATGATTGTACTGTGAGCGAAGTCGAAGAGGAGAAAGTCAATTTGCATAATAATAATAGGAATAATATCGACAACGCTGCCACAACAAACGCTGCGCAGTCTTCCAGTGCAGGGCGACATTTCATCAAGAACAGAAAGGTGTTTTGTTTTTCGAGGATTTTCCAAAAAATCAAGTTCAAAATGCTTTCTGTATTTATACTTGATTAAACTGGAGGTAGTCAGAAGTAGCTCGAGTGGCATCAGGTGCCACACCCTAACAAGCTGTCTTATCAGTGGCCCTGTCTTCTTGGCAGTGGTATTTTCTTGGATTTTGAATCAAAGCAAAATTCAAATTATGGTATTTCTTTATGTGGAATTATAAACGTGTTTTTGAGGGAAATTGGCGTAGAATTTGATACCAGCACTTTACAAGCCACAATTCCTCAAAATAGTTTCAGAAAGTGAATTTTCCGGTCTTTCCCTATTTTTTCAAACTAAGAGACACATCATTTTCAGAGAATCACAAGCAATGGATTCAGGGTATCTCCAGTTTAAATTCTTAATATGATTCGCTTTGAGAATACTTTTGTCGTTCGGAACTTCATATTGATAGAAACTGAGCGCGAAAAGCTTATTGTAGATCGTCCAAAATGAGGAATAAAAAAACATCATGTAGGGTGCTCTCAAAACAGTTACCAACTGCATTAAACAAAAAAAGAATACAAGGAACTTGAAAAAGAATACAAAGTCGGAAACAGCACAAAAAATTAGAAATACAAACCAAAAACACAAAAAGACGTTCCTTTATCAAGTTACAAAACATTAATCGCGGTGCGTTAACCCTGTATCCTTAGCCTCCGTCAGAAACTGAAATGGTGGTATCCTAGCAAAATTAGTAACACAGGTTCTCTCTATTTTTAGAATTTCTGGCTACCTGGGCCACCCAATAATTTCAATTTTAGGGACAAGTATCTGGTTCAAATCGAAAAGCAGTGGTTGCTAAAAGACCAAAAAGTGCATTAGAATTTGATAGATTATTACGGATCAAATCGGATATTCAACTTAACATCACGAAAAAGGTAATGAATATAAATTTTCCAGAATAGGGGACAGGGCGAGGAAATCCCCGAAAATGCATGAAAATATGATGTAACGCGGCAAGTGTTTTTTTCTGTGTCATCCACTGCATTGATAAAAATTTAAAAAAGATATTTTCTAATATTCTAATAAGAAAATGTTAATACATTCCTGCGGTTGCATTAAAGTAGAAAGCATATAAGTTTCTTCATTTTGATTTTTTTAAATGAGCGCTTTCTAGGCAAAAACGACTGTGCTTCCGCGAAGCTGTGCAATTTTTAGGTTGGACAAATAAAGCTCAAAGTAAGCTCAGCATCTTCGCAGCATGAGAAGGAGCAGAGTCGTACACGTCGCTCTTCGATGTTTTATGTCAATCCTGAAACGCTGAAAAATGACGTCGACGATGATGTGCTAGCAAAGATTAAATTTCCTCTAGATGAGCAGTGCATTTACGGTGATGATTGGTCTTCAGACGAAGAGGGCAGTAGCGGCTGTGGTCAGCAACATCTCGTGCAACAAGGTAATTATCTTTTTTCAGCAAAATCAGCGTTTTATTAGACGTTGAAAGTTTTGCATGCCAAGAATAGCAAGATCACCGGAGTTAACAGAACAGTGAGATTATCTGATGTTATTGTAATGCTTTTATATGACGAGCACGGCTGTGCTTGGCCTTTTGATCGTGAACAGCATGCCTCTAGTTAATATCATTTTACATACGGTTCCGAAACGACATCTTCAAAAGAAGTAGCGCCCTCCGACTGATAACATGCGCCTCAGGTCTAGAGGCCTGACATGGCTACAGTAGGTAACAACCTCGAGATCCTAGGTCGACTCGTGTCTGTTTGTTAATCTTGTTGATTTATGTTTTTTTATTTGCTTCACGGGAATGATCTTCGAGTCAGTAAGAGATTTTTTCATCGTGGTCTGGGAGCAGTAAGGTTTGAATAGGAATGTAATGCTGACACCTCGAAAAACCTAAAGCCTTGAAAAAACACTTCTGTTTGCAAAATTGTTGAAATGACAATATTTCTCAGGAAGCAAAAAGCAAAAACGAACAAAAAAGATTCTCAGAAAGCTGACCATCAGGCAGTGCGGCACTAGTCAAAGCAAATGGAAAGTTGCCAACTGTATAGTTGACAAACGAACGCTATGAATAACAGTCATATCGTCCAAAGTAAAGTACCACTAAGGTTCGAGCTGAGTTTTTGTTGTAGAGTCATTGAAAATTTGTTTAGAAAATGGTGAAGGTCAGGCTGATGAAATGGCCGCAGCTGGAAGTCAAAAATCTCCAGACTTATCGTATTCAATGTTATCTGAAATTGAACGGGAGCTTCGCTTAAGATTCCAAACGGACAACAACCTTCCAGGTCAGTTCGCTGATTACCCCTATTTCTCTGCTGGTCTCGTGGAATTCTACAAAAATGTTCACCTGCTGTGATCACTTTGCTGCTGTAGATGTTGATGATAATGGAGAGAAGTTCACTGGTTGCAGATGTCGTGCTGGAATCAAAAAGGCGATCACTGAGTGCCGATCCACTACCGCAATTGGCACCGACCACCTCGAATTGCATGGGAGCAGCTGGGACGCCGAGCAGCACTCCCGCAAAAGTCTCGGGTCAACCTTATGAGGATAGCAATTATGGGGCTTATGGACAGGCCAACAATATAAAATTGAGGCCAACAATCGGTGGTTATGAAACTGTGGTATGAAAACTGAATTTTTCCAAATTTTATAAATCTTTGAAACTTCTAAGCAACTTTTTTTAACGTGAGCGAAAAATGAAACAGAAACAAAATAGTTGGCCAACGCACGGACTGCCTATGCGAAGATGCGTTTTTTGCAGAGTTTCCCGCAGTTTTTGTCGCTACCGGCATCGGTTTTTTCGGC